TTTTTTTGTGTAAAAATAGGTTTGTTGTAATTGTGCTCTTAATAGATTAATATTGTGTAAGGGGAGAGATGGGTTTGTGGATTAAGATTAATGAAAATTTCATATTCTCACTGTATGTTGTGCCCATTTGTAAACAAGTTTAAGTGATCGGCAAAAGACCTCATAAGATGAGGTCTTGCCGTCTTTAAAATATTTTGATTATTGCAGACCTCTCTCTCATTTCTTTTCATATTTGTTTATTTATGTATTTTATGAATATGTGGAGATAATGCTGGTGTGAACTAAAATTAAATATAATTGAAAAGATGTCTAAATGGCAACTAAATTGGTGATTTAATTATAATTATGCAAGGCAACTGACAAATATAAATGCAAAATCTTAGTTATAAAATCTTCCCAACATAAGCCGCCCAATTTGCTCTGTTTTATTTGTGTGAACAAGATAAAAAAAAAAAAATCACCCAAAAGCATGCGCCTAAAGTTATAAGGCCGTCTGGAATCTTTAATTTGATATGGGAGAATAATTTACCTACTTAAAATGAGCAATTGTAAGCCAAAAACATATTATTTTAAGCCAAAATCTATTTACTTTTAAAAAATTCAAAATATGTCTGCTGTTATATTATGTGTATGAACATAAATAAATAAATTGGAGGTGTATCTAATTAAAAAGAAACAAAAATAAAAAATATCATGATTTGAGAATCGATAATTTTGCTAATATAGTAAATTAATGACAAGTATAGCATATACAATCCATAATGTTAGTAGGTAATTTGGATTAATAATACCTCTATTGATTTGTATCTCAGTGATTTAATACATGTCTCTAAACAAAGACAAGTTTAGCATTAATAATATCTCTAATGATTAAGTGTCCATTCATTAATAATCCCCCTAAACAAATTGTTGGAATAATGTAACTTTAGCTTTATACTTATTATCCATATTGATTTTTAAATATGTGATAAAATTTTACCAAAAAAAAAAATATATATATATATATATATATTCTTTTATGGAATCATATTATAGTCAGATCGAATTTTTAAATAAAAATTTTAGAATAATACTTATTTTGAAATGAATAAATATAATATATTATCAGTTACGTGCATCGTACGAGTTATGCACTAATTTTAAATAGACA